AGCACTCAGGAGGCAGAGGCAGGCGGATCTCTGTGAGTTCGAGACCAGCCTGGTCTACAGAGCTAGTTCCAGGACAGGCTCCAAAGCCAGAGAGAAACCCTGTCTCGAAAAACAAAAACAAACAAACAAAAAAACCTAAAGTGTTGAAGCTGTGACTCAGCAGCTAAGAGCACGAGCTGCTCTTCCAAAGGGCCCAAGTTTGTCCCCAGCACCCGGGCATGCAGCTCACAGCCCCTGGAACTCCAGCTCCAAGAAATCCTCCATTGTGGATGCTACATTAACATGGCACATAACACACATAATTAAAATTTAAATAAGTTTTTTTTAAAAAATGATAAGGCTGGGTGGGAAGAGTGCATGCTTTTAATCCCAGCACTGGGGAGTCAGGGGCAGATGGGTCTCTGTGAGTTCAAGGACAGCCGGGGCTACACAGAGAAACTCTGTCTTGAAAAAACAAAACAAAAAGATAAAATTGGTCTGGAGAGATGACTCGGCCTAAGAGTACTGGCTGCTCTTCTACAAAACCTGAATCCAATATCCAGCACCTGTGCGGTGGCTCAGAACCATTTGTAATTCCAGTTCCCAGGGATCTGATAGCATCTTGTCCTCTGCAGACACCAGATACACACATGATACATAGACACACGTGCAAAACACCCACACCCACGCAAAGTAAAATCTTACCGGGCGGTGGTGGCACACGCCTTTAATCCCAGCACTCAGGAGGCAGAGGCAGGTGGATCTCTGTGAGTTCGAGGCCAGCCTGGTCTACAGAGCAAGTTCCTGGACAGGTAGGGCTGTTACACAGAGAAACCCTGTCTTGAAAAGCAAAAAAAAAAAAAAAAAAAAAAAAAAAAAAAATGGGGAACCCCCCCCCAAGCTTGTTTCCACACAGGTTTTGTTGATAGTGATGATAGTGATGTTTCATCTTGTTTTTGAGGCAGGTCTCATGTAGTCCAGGCTGGCCCCAAACTCACTACCACCCCTGCCCCCCAAGCGCTGGGATGACAGCGCAAGCTCAGTGGTTAAGAACACTGGCTTCTCTTCCAGAGGACCCAAGTTCAGTTCTCTGCACCCACATGGCAGTTTATAACTGCTCGGAACTCTGTAACTTCAGCTCCCCGATGCTCCTGACTCCCTGGGCACCAGGCATACAGAGAGTGGGCACACATACAAGCAAAACACCCAAGCACCTAAATGTTTTTTTCTTTTGTTGTTGTTTTGTTTGAGACAGGGTTTCTCTGTGTATCTTTGGCTGTCCTGGAACTCACTCTGTAGACCAGGCTGGCCTCTAACTCACAGAGATCCACCTGCCTTTGCCTCCTGAGTGCTGGGATTAAAAGTGTGCACCACCAAGCCTGGCTGCACATAAACTTTTTAAAGATTTATTTTTATTTTATGTGTATGAATCTTTATGTGTATCTGTGTACTTCGAGCATGCCTGGTGCCCTTGAAGGTCAGAGGAGGGCATCAGATCCCCTAGAACTCTGGTGGGTGCTCAGGTCCTCTGCAAGAATAAGTGCTCTTAACCACTGAGCCATCTCTCTAGCCCATAAGACTTTTATGAAATGGAAAAATCATATGTAAAATATATTTGGGCAAAATTTGCATATCACTAAATTAACCGTTTCATTTTTTTCTTTTGGAGGTGAGAATAGCACGAAGGGTGAGAAGTAGCACCCAAGCTAGATATGGGCTCTGCCCCGAGCCCAAATTCATCACCTTCACCATTTTGAAGAGCCCAGTTCAGTGGCGTTCAGCTCGCTCACTGTGTTGTGAAACCATCTCCAAAACTATTTATCTTGCAAAACCGAAACTCTGTCCCCATTGAACACTAACCCCAACCTCTGGTTCCAGACACTAAAGCTGAGGCATCTGGAGACTTCCAGTGAGTTTAGTGGTGTGTGTGTGTGTGTAGTGTGTGCATGTGTGTATGGTGTGTGTGTGTGTGTGTGCATGCACAGGTGCACTTCAGAGGATAACACAGGTGTTTTCACATATGTCAACACTTCTCTCTGCCTTGTATTTTGAGACATGGCCTCCTACTGAGCCGGAGGAAGCTCAGTTTCTGCAAACTGGCTAAACAAGCAGCCCAGCAGCACAGGGGGCTGCCTGTCCCCACTCCCCAGCCATGCTTCTTGGCTGAATTTTTATTTACCTTTTGTTTATTTATTTTGAGATAGAGTCTATGTAGTCCTGACTGTCCTAGAGCTCACCATGTAGACCAGGCTGCCTTTAAACTCACAGGGATCCCCCTGCTTCTGCCTCCTAAGTGCTGGAAATAAAGGTGTGGCTACCACATCTGCTCGCATGGGTTTAATGTGGTGCTGCTGACTTGAACTCGGGTCCTGCTGTTTGCACGACAAACACTATACCCACCGAGCCACCCCCTAGTCCTTGTTTGGCTATGGTAGTCTTTTTATATGTGCGTGCATGTGTCTGTGTTTCTCTGTGTATGCAGGCCAGAAGAGCACATGGGATCCCTTGGAGCTGGAATTACAAGTGTCTGTGTACCACCTAACATGGGTGCTGGGATTTGAACGAACTCCAGCCCTCATGATGGGAGCAGCAAGTGCTCTTAACCACTGAGCCATCTCTCCAGCCTCTTTTGCTCTGGTTTGTTGGTTTTTGTTTTATTAGTTTTAGGTCTTGAGACAAGGTCTCACTGTGTAGCCCTGCCAGACATGGAATGCCCAGTGCAGACGAGGCTGGCCTTGAACTCACAGAGATCTGTCTGCATCTGAGCCCTAGCTGAGGTGAAACACAGATGCTAGCGTGGCTGGCTGGTTGTTTATTCTGGTTGGTTTGTGGGTGTTTCCTCGTTTTGTTTTTTGAGACTGGGTCTTGTGTAGGGCAAGTTAACCTTGAGCTTGTATTGTGGTCAAGGATGACCTTGAATTCCTGACCCTCCTGCCTCAGCCCTCCCCACCCAGTGCCAGGGCCTGTTTGTGCCACCTTTCCCAAATTACGCAGTATCAGGACTAGCTACTCGGAGCTTCCTGCACGCCAGGCAAGCTCTCTACTGACCAGCCCACTCCACGCCCCAGCCCTGTTTTGTTTTAAACTTCTCTGACACCTCTGCTTCACAGTTGAGAGCTGGGATTATAAACAGCTCCGGCCTGATTTTAGGAAGTCCGGAGAGCTGAACCCACCACACCCTGGGGGCTAGGCCAGCCCTCTACTTTCCCCACCCCCCTCCCCCAGCCCTGTATTTCTATTATGTTAAGGACCTGCGCTCTCTCCAGTTCTGCCTCCACATTTTGCAGCCTCTGAGGCCAGGCTTTCCATCCCCTCAGCACCAGCAAGTTACTGACTAGGTCTTTTGAAGTGTGTGCCTCCCTGGAGAAATGGCTCGGAGGTAAGAGGTAGGTGTGTGCCCCTTTTTGGACAGGAACTCTGGCCGTGGCTGAGAGATGGCACACCCTTTGCTCTTAGGTGAGGTGGGTGGCACTTTTGGCTTGGGGATTTGTGTCTGCTGGGTCCTCTTGCCCAATCCCAGTACTTATCTCCTAACCCCCACCCCTGCTGATAAGAGCAGGCTATCTTTAGCCCCAGGATTTGGGAAGAACTGGTGGGAGCCAAGGTCACTGGCCAGGTTGCAGAAACTGAACCCTGGGTCCCCACCCCCAAGGCTTTAACTCAGGCCACCTGTGTGCTAGGCTATCTGCACTGTTATGCAATTTACTGAGTTTAGGCCCAATGAAGGAGGGCTGACCTGTCAGCTTCACATTGCCAGGTAAAGCAGGAACAGTTTCTGCTGTGAGAGCTCAGTCCCCTCCACTTTGCATGGGTGTGTGCAGGTCAGAGAACAGCTCGTGAGATCAGTGCACGTATCTTTGTCTGGTGTGTATATCTAATGAGACAGGACGCGCTCTGTAGTCAAGCTGGTCTGCAATCACTCCTGAAGTAGAGGCTCTTTTCCTTAGCCTCTGGAGCCCTGAGGTGGCAGGGATGAACCAGCGTGCTCAACTTCAGGATTCCTTGCTCTAGTTGTTGGGACAAGGGCCTCACTCAGCCTGTTGCCCCGGCTAGCCTAGGATTCACATCAGTCCTTTCACTCCCACCACCTGAGTGCTGGGATTGCATGCTAGACTCCTACTTAGAAATTTTAATTATTTTTGTGTGTTTTGTTTTTTTAGGCAAGGTCTTTTTATATAATCCTGTCTGTCTTTGAGCTCCAACTCACAGAGATCCTCCGGCCGTTACCTCCTGAGTGCTAGGATTAAAAGCACACACAGGCCCCTACTTAAACGCTTGAAAAACACAGAAGCAGGAGCTAGAGAAATGTATCACTGGTAAAGAGCATTGGCTGTTCTTGTAGAGAACTAAGTTCAATTCTCAGCACCCACATAACTCACAAACATCCATTTAGTTACAAGAGATCAGATACCCATATTTCACCTCTGCTGGCATCAGGCAAGTATGTGGTACTCATAGGCAAAACGTTTACCCATACACATAAAATAAAGATAAATAAGTCTGCCAGGTAGTGGCGGCGCACGCCTTTAATCCCAGCACTCAGGAGGCAGAGGAAGTCGGATCTCAGTGAGTCTGAGGCCAGCCTGGTCTCAAACATACACAGCGAGCTTCAGGACAGCCAGGGCTACACAGGAAGTCTCAACACCTCCCCCGTCCTCCCATCCTGGTTTTATGTATAGTTAATATTTCTAAAGTAAATTACAAAAAAAAAACCTCAAGCAAAAATAATAAGCGTTTTACCGCTTCGCCTCTACAGTCTGCCTGCAACCAACAGAAGCAAACTGCTCTAGGTCCCGCAACTTTCAAGTCTAAGCATACGCAACAGAGCCGGCCGAAGAATTGACGCATGCGTACTGGGCCGAACGCGGACTGGCCCCTCGTGACACGCCCTCCCTACGATGATTGGTCACCGCACGTGAGTGACAGGAGAAATTGCGCATAGCTCTCCACAAAATGGCCGCTCATTCCGACGCGAAGACGGACGTAGGACTCAGCCAATGAGATCTAGGCGCTCCGGGAAGGAGGCGGGGCCACAGGAGAGAAATTTGCGCGGGCTCGGGCTCGGCGCCGTCCGTCATGGCGGCTTTCCGCGACATCGAGGAGGTGAGCTACGGTCTGCTGAGCCTGCTGGGGGCCAACCGCGCCGAGGCGCAGCTGCGGCGGCTGCTCGAGCGCCACGAGCAGATGGTGGAGCGGCTGCTGGAGACGCAGGACGACGCCGACCAGCGGCTTCGGGGTGAGGGTGGGGCCCCTGGGCCTCAGTTTCCCCATCTGACAATAGTCATCGCCCAGAGACAGAGATGAGTGTCAGCGCTCGCAGTGCCAGACTCCACATGAACTCCATAGCTCAGGCTGGCCTGGAAGTCAGGGGTCTTCCGAGTGAGAGCCCTCACCCCTAGCCTGGTTCTCCCCTTATGAAACGAATTTCATGACAGTGGATGTATAGAAGCAACTATAGGAGTTGGCAGGGCCTGACCCTTAAGAACTTTCCCAGACTCGGTTTTTTTTTTTTTTTTTAAGCCAAATCTGAAGCAAGCTTTAATTAAATACTGGCCAGGCAGATGGGCTCTCACCAGGTCCATACCCGGGTTCCTGAAAAAACGGCAAGGGTTTAAGAAGGAAAACCTGCCGGGTGGTGGTGGCACACGCCTTTAATCCCAGCACTCGGGAGGCAGAGGCAGGCGGATCTCTGAGTTCGGGCCAGACTGGTCTACAAGAGCTAGTTCCAGGACAGCCACCAAAAGCTACAGAGAAACCCTATCTCGAAAAACAAAAAAGAAAAACCTGTAATTCATTACATTTCCCAGCAGGTCCAATCAGGGGCAAGCATACATCCTATTTCCTACCTACCTCCCACCCACACCTGCAGATGGGTCAAACAAACGTGCCAAGACTCAGTCTTCAACATAGCTCAGGCTAGTTTAGAACTCTGTAGCTGAGCCTGGTTGAAACTCAAACAATCCTGCCTGTCTGCTCTCCAGTGCTGAGATCATACCTCTCTGCACGTTAAGCTGTTAATAGAGCAGTAAAGAACAAATAGAGCCGGGCAGTGGTGGCGCACGCCTTTAATCCCAGCTCTCAGGAAGCAGAGGTCGGCAGATCTCGGTGAGTTCGAGGCCAGCCTGGTCTACAAGAGCTAGTTCCAGGACAGGCTCCAAAGCTACAGAGAAACGGTGGGAAGGCCATGTTTGCCCTGGAGGCCTTCAGGCCAGCCCATAAGAAATTACCATTAGCAGTGGTATAAATGAATTGTTTAGCCCGTGCCAGAGAGAAACCAGCTCAGTAGATACGTGTGCTTGAGTGCTTGAGATGTCAGCATGAGCAGCCCCTGTTGGGGCTGCAGACTCAACAGTTAAGAGCCCTGTTTCCAGACAGCCTGTGTGCAGTTCCCAGTACCCATGTCAGGCTGGTCACAACCTCTTGGACCCTTGTGGCCTCCACGGGCGTCAGGCACACATATACATATAGTTAAGAAACAATAAGGTAATAAAACTTAAGAATAAAGTAAGCTTCTGAAAACCAGAGCACAGGAGAGGGGCCATGGCTGTGGCTTAGTTGGGGGGCGGGGTACTTGCCTGGAGTGCACGAAGCCCTGTGTTCCGTTCTCAGAGCTCGTTAAACTGGCTCGAGGTGTGGACCTGTGAAACCAGCAACCAGACACAAACAAACAGGGAGTCGGGGATTTAAGATCTTAAAGAATTCAAACCCAGGCTCATATATGTGAGACCTGTATCAAAAGACAGTGCTGGGCGACTAGCTCAGAGCACACGGGCCCCGCATGGGGCCTTGGGAGCAAACAGAATGAAGTGAGCTGTCTCAGGCCACCAAGACGCTTGCTGCCCAGCCTGACAACTTCAGTTTGGTCCGGAGGAGCTGCACAGCAGAGGAGAGCTGACTTCTGCAGGGTGACCTCTGACTTCCTATACAAACCATAGTATTTTTTATTTGAATGAGGCAGTGATGACTTGGACATTTGTTTTAGATTTTGAGAGACTGGAGCAGGAGATTTGCTGAGAATTCAAGACCAACCTCAGTTACATAGAGTTTCTGGCTGGTATTGGCTTACAAAGAAACCCTATGTCAAACTCATCCAACCCTCACCCCTACAGTGAAGTAATTCAGTGGCTCTACATTGGCCATATATTATGACCTGCTTCTGTAGAGCCACTTGGATAAAACAGAAGAATTCCTTGAGCGCAGGAGTTTGTGGCCAGCCTGGACATAGTGAGACCCTTGACTCTGCCACTTGACACCCACCCAAAGCGGGGACAGTTATAACAGGAGACATTGAGGGAACTGTACACTGACACTGAGCATTTGGGAGAATAGAGGCCAGCCTGAACTACATGAGACCACCCCTCAAACAAAAGATAAAATGTCCTGGTTTAGTGGGTAAGTCAAGTGCTTGCCTAGCATATAGAAAGTCCTGGCTTCCATCCTCAACACCGTACACAACGGCCCTGGTGAACAGCTTGGGGAAGTCAGCTCTGTCCCTCTACTCAGTTCATCAGGTTTGTTGCCATCTCACCCAACTGTGATTTATTTTTGTGTTTGTTTTGGTTGGCACAGTCTCTGAGTTTAACCCAAGCCAACGTAGAACTCTGCATCCTCCTGCCTCTGCCCCAGAGGAATGGATTATAGGTTCACACTGCCAGTCTCAGTATTGAGTGTGTTCTGGCAAACAGGAGCACACCCAAATTCTGGGAGGTGCTCAGAAGCTGCTGGGGCAGCAGATGTAGGCGCAGTGGCAGAACTCTGACTGGGTAGTGACACAGCTCTTTGGAGTCTTCCTAGGCAAAGGACATCCAAGGACACCTACTTCTGTCCCATTGCAGAGGTCTTGGCTGTGGAGGAGGAAGTGGCTCAAAGCCTTCTTGAATTGAAGGAATCCACGTGCCAGAAAGGCACCAAACTACAGCAGCTGGATGTCGAGCTCCAGAACGCCAGCAAGGAGGATGCCTGTCTGCAGGCCAGACTCTGATATCCTTAACTCTACCAAATAGCCTACATCAGAGTGTACTTGGATTGTGTTAGGATGCAGCTCGGTACTGGAGCTTCCACCTAGAATCCCCCAGTGAGGGGCTGGGGTGTGGCTCAGTGGTAGAGCCCCTGCCTAGAGTCCCCCAGTGAGGGGCTGGGGTGTGGCTCAGTGGTAGAGCCCCTACCCACAGTCCCCCAGTGAGGGGCTGGGGTGTGGCTCAGATAGAGCACCTGCCTAGCATGTGTCAGGTCTTGGCTTTTATCCCTAACACTGAAGGACAAAAATAGGAAGAAAATGTTTGAGCGCCAGGTGCTCTGACTTGGTGTCTGGTAAGGGAACTGTCCTTAGTAGTCGTCGTCCCCCCCCCCCCCCCCCCCCCGAGCCTGGGCCTTAACTGACTGCACTCAGCTTGCCACAGAGCTGCAAGAACTCAGAGAGATGGAGGCGGATCTTCAGGAACAGGAGACAAAAGTGGATGAGGACACCACCGTCACCATCCCCTCTGCAGTGTATGTGGCTCAGCTGTATCGCTGCATCAGTAAAATAGAATGGGATTATGAGTGTGAGCCGGGGACCATCAAGGGCAGTATCCTTTGAGAATCACTGCACAGCTGGGGAAAACCTATATCCTCCATGCTAGGAAGTCAGTGGGCAGGCAGGTGGATCGTGCTGGAGTTCCAGACAAGCCAGGGCATTTCTGGGGACGTGCTCCAGAGAGATGAAGGGGGGCTCTTGAAGATCATAGGGCATTGTTCACCACATCCAAATGTAGAAGTAACCTGTCTCAACAGTGTATCTGTGCACTGGGGTAGTAGTTAGCTTTTGGGACTGTAGAGAGATGACTCGGTGGTTAAGATCAGAGGGCCCAGGTTCAGTTCCCAGCTGACGACTGTAACTCCAGTTCAGAGGATCCAACACCCTCACACAGAAATGCAGGCAAAACACCAATGCACATAAAATAGTTAGGAAAAAAAGGCCAGGCAGTGGTGATGCACGCCTTTAATCCCAGCATTTGGGAGGCAGAGGCAGGTGGATCTCTGTGAGTCTGAGGCCAACCTGATTTAGAGGGAGTTCCAGGACAGCCAGAGCTGTTACACATAGAAACCCTGTCTCGAAAAACCAAAAATAAAAAAAGTTAAAAAAAGCTGAGGGGGTTAGACAGAAGACACAGATGCGGTAGAGTGCTTGTAGAGCATTTGGGCTCCACACCCAATAGTAGGACAACCTGGAACCTACCTACTGTCTAGTCCCAATTGGCTGCAAGTCTATGAGGAACTTTCTGATTCTGCTCCTTGAGTACTGGGATTGTAGGTATATGCCATCACACCCAGAAAAAATACCATTCTTAATTAAAATGAAATTAGGGAAGACCAGGCGCCTTTAATCCAGCACTTGGGAGGCAGAGGCAGGCAGATCTCAGTGAGTTTGAGACCAGCCTGGGCTAGAACAGCCAGAGCTACACAGAGAAATCCTGTCTCAAAATGAATAAATGGATGAATGAATAAATATAAGAAATTAGGGAGCTAAGAAGATGGATCAGTGAGTAGGGGCCCATGCCACCAGGCATGGTGACCTGAATTTAATTCCTGGATCCACTGATAGAAGGAGGACATCAGCAGGTGCACTATGGCATGTCTGCAGCCACATGCCCACAGGAAAAAGGAAATTAGCCTGGTGTAGTGTCACACACCTGCAATCCCAGCACTTGGGGAACTGAGGCCGGAGGAATTGCCACAAATTTAAGGTCAGCCTGGACTAGGATAGTGAGAGCCATCTCCAAACAACAGAATGTGAACACGCCTGGGAGGACCATGTATACTTTCCTTTCATTGTACCCTCAGTCCACCACGGCCCCACTGTGGCCCTGCCCATCCACCTGGACAGCACACAGCTCTCACAGAAGTCTATCAGTGACTACCTCTGGAGTCTGGTGGACACTGCCTGGGAGCCAGAGCCTAACCTCACACTTTGATAGAATCGAGACTGAGGGGACCCAGGGGGGAATCATTCAAAATTAAAAGTCTACGTGCAAATGTCTGTGGTGATATTTTATTTGTGCTTTAGCAAGTAAAATTTGCCTGAAGATCAGAGTGTGGAACTAGCCACTAGTTAGCCATAGAGACCAGGCGGTGGTGGCGCACACCTTTAATCCCAGCACTCAGGACGCAGAGGCAGAAGGATCTCTGTGAGTTCGAGGCCACCCTGGGCTACACTAAATTGCTCCAGTCTCAAAGAGAAACAGCTAGGCAGTGGTGGCTCACACCTTTAATCCCAGTACTTGGGAGTCACACACCTTTAATCCCAACACTAGGGAGGTGGAGACAGGAAGGGATGTGGCTGGGCAAGGAGAGGAATATAAGGTGGGGGTGGTAGCTCAAGACATCCTTTCTGAGGATTCATGAAAACAGATCTTGCCCACTTTGGTCTGAGAATTCAGTACAGGTAAAAGGTCTCTCTGGTGGCTGGAAGCGCTGCTTCTCTGATCTTCCTGCTTTTGTATCCTAATACCTGACTCTGGATTTTTATTATTAAGACCAATTCGATTCATGCTACAAATAACTTCATGTATTTATCTCTTGTTTTGAGACAATGTTTCATGGAGCCCAGGCTGGCCTGGAACTTTTTTTAAATTACATTTTTAAAAAATAATTATTTTGCTGAGTGAATGTTTTGTCTGCATGTGTGTGTGTTAGCCGTGTGTTCCAGTGGAGGTCAGAAGAAAGCATCAGCTTCCTTGAACCTGGAGTTAGAAGTGGCTGTGAGCTGCCATGAGAATGCTGGGAATCGAACCTGGATTGTCTGCAAGAGTAGCCCGTGTGGGGCTGGAGAGATGGCTCAGAGGTTAAGAGCACTGTTCTTCCAGAGGTCCTGAGTTCAATTCCCAGCAACCACATGGTGGCTCACAACCATCCGTAATGAGATCTGGTGCCCTCTTCTGGAGTGCAGTATATGCATCCAGAACACTGTATACATAATAAGTCTTTTTTTTTAAAAAAAGAGTAGCCCATGCTCTTAATAGCTGACCCTCCTGCCTTGCCCTCTGGGGCAGGGTTTGAACTCTCAAGGATTTGCCATCGTCCCCAGCACTGAGTTTCCACACAACCGTCACACTAGCCATTTTACCTGAATTTTATGGTGTCACCTTGGGTCCTCAAGCGCTCTCCAGCATCTCAGCCCACCCCCACCCCCTTATTTTTATGAGGTCCAAGCCCTCACTGGAAAACTCTAGGCTTGTGCTCAAGTCCTGAACCACATACAGAGCCAGGCTGCCCCTGCTCCCCGGGGCTTACCTAGTGACATCTGGGTAATGTTTTAGGGTTTGGGGATACTTTAGGACCTTCAGCACCAAACCCTGACCTCCACTCACTGGATTCCAGTAGCACCCCGACAACAGGAAGTGTTCATGGCTCAGTGTCCCTGGGGAAGGTTACACACAGCATCTCCAGGACTAACAACATTAGCCGCACACTGCTGGATGAGTCACTGCTGGAGACTTTCCATGCCAGTGTGAGGCAGGGTGAGGATGGAGAACTCACCCAGCCCAGGCTTCCTTCCCTCTGGGGGTACATGCTGACCTGCAGATCCTGGCACCTGAGGAAGAGAGGGGCCATGGGGTCCAGGGCTGCCAAATAGCAAAGTTAGGAGGCTAAGGAGATGGTTCTTGGGTAAAGGTGCTTGCCATTAAATCTGATGGCCTGAGTTCAAACCCCTGGGGCCCATACTTGCCTCCACCTCAACAGTTAAGGGCACTGGCTGCTCTTCCAAGGGACCTGGGTTTAATTCCTGCACCCACAGGGCAATTCACAACTGTAACTCCGGGGGACTGTATGCATTCTAACTTCCTTAGACACTGGGTACACAATGCAGACATACCTACAGGCAAAACACTCATAAAATACGTAAATCTTAAAGAGGAGGAAGAAGAAAAGACAGAACAGGGCAGCAAGAACCACAGATGAGGGCTGGAGAGATAGCTCAGAGGTTAAGAGCATTGCTTGCTCTTCCAAAGGTCCTGAGTTCAATTCCCAGCAACCACATGATGGCTCACAACCATTTGTAATGAGGTCTGGTGCCCTCTTCTGGCCTGCAGGCATACACATAGACAGAATATTGTATACATAATAAATAAATAAATAAATATTTAAAAAAAAAACACAGATGAGGCTTGGCCCTGGCCCTGTGGGAGCTGCTGCTTTGCTCCTGGAGCCCCTGACCTGGTACGGGAAGACCCACACCCATGCCACTGCCTTCACCGGAGCACACCAGAGGCCACTCCAGGGGCCAGGGAGTGTGGCTCTGCATGCCTGGGCTCTGAGTCATTGGCCATCGTGGGGCCAAACACCCACCCACAGCCTGGCTTGTTCCTTCCAAAGGAGCCAGCCACCCCAGGGGCCAGCAACTCATTCTCAAAGCCAGCCAGAGGGAGGGGCAACATTGAAGTTACCAACAAATGGAATCAAGTCTCTGGTGGAACAGGGTTTGCCCTGTGCCATCTAGAGTCCAATTTACAGATGAGGGAAACTGAGGCACAGCTCCAGAGACTGACTGAGCCATTTCCCTGGGCTCCCAGCCAATGGGCCCTAAAGCTAGGTGCTCCCTAGGGTACATAGTGTCTTTCTTTGATCTGTCACCAGGATGAAGTGGTTTGTCAGGACAATGGAGAGGCATCCAGCAGGAGTGGCCAGCCCCTTTCTCTAGTCTTTCTACCCTCCCCATAGGTCTGGGGTCAGCTGTATTCAGAGGTGTTGCCACTAGGCTAGATTTGAACCCAGGGCAGCCAAATTTGAAGGATCTATCTGCTGGTGTGGAGGACAGAGGACCAGATGTGGGTTGTGGACATGAATATACTTGGGGACTCAGCTCCACCTGCCACCTGACTTGTTGGGGCTAGTCTACTCTCACCTTGGCCTCAGGACCTCCTAATCCCATATGAGTGCCTGTGGCGGTAAAAGGAAGGGTTCCAGGGACCAACCTCAGATCACCAAGCTTGTGCAGCAAGTGCCCTTACTCGCTGAGCCGTTGCTTTGAGGGCTTCAGATGCTAGACATGCACTGTAGATCACTGAGCCGTGACCCAGCCCGGTACCATTTTGAATGTCCTATCTGCTGGTTCTGCAGCAGTGGCCCTTTCTTACAATCCTGTTATGTGACTGGAGCTAACAAGTATTCCTGGCGCAGTTATCTGGGAAGTGAACCTAAACCCTGGCCCCCCAGGCCTGGATTGGTCTCAGGTTTCACACCTGGTGGTGGTGGCCCAGTGATGGGACAGGAATGAGGTCATCACACCTGGTGACAACGAAGGGGATAAAATGCTGGGGGAGGTAGAGTTCTAGGGGCCCTCAGGAGGGAGTGTCCATTGAGCACAAGGATCAAGGGGGAGGGTAGAGATGAAGACAGGATAACAGATGTACAGGCAGGCATCTGGGCTGGGAGAATGCAAACAAATTCAAGGGGCAGAGACCAAGCCACCGCAGAAGGCTTCTTGATCAAGCCCGGCCTGCAGGCCAGAGTACGGGCCAAGATTTTCCAGATTCCCCGTGGTTTGTGCCGAGTAAGGGACTGATTAATTAAGCCCCAAGTTTTTCCCACACCTTCCCCAAGGCAGCCAAGCCAAAGGGAGGGTCAGGAGAAGAGGGAGGGAGTTCCTCCTCTAGGGCAGGAAGCAGTTGTCAGGAGTGTCAGACAAGATGCAGAAGTCTTAGGAAACTTTCCCCAGGCGGGCTAAGTGGGGGCTGATGTGGCCTGGGAACCAGTTTTCTGAGATGGAGAACTGGAGTTAGGGGAAAGCTGGCTGCAAAGTAGGCAGCCCCTCCCCCCTCCTACAGGCCTGGGCTCACTCAGTCTTGGGCTCCAAGCTGGCTCACCACAGACATCTGTGGTCTGAGATACTATGAGCTGGAAGGAACGCCAGCCTGGGGTGGTGATCAGCAGCGAACAGCCATTGGTGTGTCAGGACTGGCTTATGACTGGCATCCCTCTTGTCCTGGACAGAACCGAGTCCCCAGAGATGTGGCAGGCAAGACCACCACCACCTGCCCACCCTGGGTCAGACGAGCTGGACACATCCAGGTCTTTCATTGATTCCCATTCTGAACCCAGAGAACAGCAGGCAGAGAAGACAGGAAACCAGATAAGGGAATCCTGTCCCCAAGAACCTCTCATTGCCCTTGTTAGGCAGGCACTCTACTGCTGCGTTAAACACCAGCCCCTCAGCTCTGGTAAAGTAAGGTGTTTGCTTTTGAGAGTCACAGACCCCAGGTCCACCTCAAACTTACCATGCAGCGGAGGATGACCCTGAAGTCCTGATCTTTCTGCCTCCACCTCCCAGTGGAAGGAGGGCAGGTGTGGGTGATCACACCTGGCCTTGAAGGACCTTGAACAGAAAGAAGCAGGAGCTAAGAAACAGAAATTGCAGCATTTAGGAGGCAGAGGCAGGTGAGTTCCAAGGTCAGCCCATCTGGGATGCTGGAGATGGGGTGGGGAGGGGGAGTGAACCCATCCCCTTCCACGACGGCTCCTGCTCTACAGTTTGTTAATCCCAGGCCTCAAAGCGCCATTATCCTGTCTGCCACGCCAGTGAGCATCACTTGATTCAGAAAAGCAGCCCTTGATGCCCATGCGGTCGGCTTCTCAGGCCATGGCTCCGTTTGCAGAAGAGGTTTCACTTTTTCCCAAGCCGAACGGCAGAGGAAGAGCGGATGCGCCACCCTGTGGGTGGAGAGGAGATGACAGGCCTGTGCAGAGCTTCCCGCCATACTGGGGGAGGCCGAGGCTCTACGGTGCAGGAGCGCAGACAGAAAACCACAGCAGAGCCAGGATCTGAGCCCAGGCCACTTACCTCCTTGCTGCTTCATTTCCCAGACTCTGTCCCTACGTGGGAGATGGGCAGAGCTCTTTTTCTTCCCCATCCACCCTAGCAAGAGTTCCTAAGGGCATTTGTTTCCTTGTGGCAGCTCATTCCTGCACCAGCTTCCTCCTTAATCCCCGAGCCCCCATGGCTCCCCACCAGCCCCATGACTCCTCCTGTCCCTTCCCTTTCTCCTCAGCCCCTGGACCCTTCCCAGGGCTCTCGGTCCCAGACAGGCC